GCTCTGGAGGAAGGTTCTTGTCATTAATCCTCCCCTAGTCTAGGAGCTTCTCAGCGCAGGGACCCCAGGTCCAGAGGACACGCTCTGCTCCCAGCATTTCTTTCTTGGTGATATGAGGTCCCTTTCCTCTCTGCTCGCTTTTGTCCCTTATATCTCAAAAGAGGTTGACTCAAGATACAACCTAATCCTGTAGATTGTGTCCTGCCTCTTAACATAACTGCCTCTAATCCTGCCTCATTAGCATCATAGAGGTTAGGATTTACAATACATAGGATAATGACATCAGATCACAAAATGGTGGACAGCCACACAATACTGGGAATCACGGCCTAGCCAAATTGACACACATTTTTGGAGGATACAATTCAATCCATATCAAGGTGGGGAGCCAATTGAAGAGGTGCCTCGTGTACTACATTCAGGACGCCACCAGTGCTCAGATTTAAGGGCCAAAGCCGTGGTGATTTTTAGAAACTATAATCTAGCTAGTTAATGCCCAGGAAACACCTATGGTCAATAAGTTAGGCTAACTCCCAGCTGCAGGGAGATTGCACCCAGGGAAACAAGGGCCATGTCAGGAAGAGGGTGCTAGGACGGGCTTGTTTCACAGTATGGGTTTGTGTTAGGCGATTTGGGGGAAGGTTCTAAGAAAGGGGGTTGCCTTGGATTGGAAGCTATCAGGATACAGGGGCAATTCTATTATTGGATATTTTAATAATTTTTGTCTAGGAGGTAGGGGAAGTAGAGCGAGGCTCCTGCTAGCCAGGAGAAGGAGCTGTTGGTCATTCTAGCGGTTGCTCGGTGCTCTTGTTTTTGCCTATGCTTAGGCAAGAGTAAGCAGCAGTCCTTTGTCTTGCTGTATCACAGTCACAAAGTGACCTTCTCTGGTGATGGTGTTCTATGAAGTTGCTTGGGTTAAAGAAAGAACACCCTGGCTTAACTGTGAGCACCACGCCAGCCACCCACTGACAGCTATCAGGGCTGCTTTTATTCTTTCCCAAACTCTTATGCACACACATGCACACACATACAAGTGCGTACTCAACTTTTAGCCAAGGCAGATTGTAAGATCAGTGACTACCTTCTACTTGTCCTTTAAGACCTCATTTTTGGGTGACTAGTAAATGGATGTTCGTTATGCTATTCTCCATACCTTTGTGTATGATTAAAATTTTTCCAAACAAATTTTTTTTAAAAGGCTCAGCTTGGAGGTCACCTCCTCTGGGAAGCCTCCTCTGATCCCCCCGTTATAGGCTGGGATGAAAGACTCCTCCTGTCTGCTCCTAGACAATTCTGTGAATGACTCTTTTCTAGTTCCTTGCTACTCAAAGTGTGGTCTGTGACTGATAGCATGGGCATCTTGTGGGAGCTTGTTATAAATGCAGAATCCCAGGCCTCCCCCTGACCTACTAAATCAGAATCTACCTTTTGAGAAGATCTGCAGGTGATTCGTGTGCACAGCAAAGTTTGAGAAACTCTTCTCTAGCATGTTCATGCTGAATAACTGTAACTACCCGTTTACTTATCTGTCTCCCCCACTAGACTGTGAGCACACTCTGGGCTGGAACCCTGTTTTTTCCCACACACCAGGCAGCACCGTTGCTCACGGTGTCATGGGATGAGTGAGGGTGGATGGGTAGAGGTATGCCATGCCCACCTGAAGGGAGGGGAGTGAGGAGGCTGTCTGTCTGTTGCCACCAATCTCTCTTCTTCCCTTGCCCAGATCAAGGTGAACATCCTGGGAGAGGTGGTGGAGAAGGGCAGCAGCTGCTTCCCAGTGGACACCACGGGCTTCTGCTTGCACTCGGCCATCTACGCAGCCAGGCCCGATGTGCGGTGCATCATCCACCTGCACACCCCTGCCACGGCCGCGGTGAGTGGCCCTCCTGCCGGGCACAGGCTTCACCCAACATTTTACTCCCTGAGCCCCCAGCCCATTTCTCTGAGATTCTCCCTGAGAAGAAGACATAAGCCACCCAAGCTAGTAGTAAATTCATCATTTAAAAGTTCTGGCAAGATTTCCAGCACTCAGGCCAAGGTGCAGAAAGAAAACCCCCACCGTGGGGATGCTCCATTCTCTTCCATTCTTCTATCTACCCAAGTCTTGGCTTTGGGAAGTAAAGATGTGTAATTTCCCCCAGCTCCTGTGCTCCCCACCCGGCTGCATACACAACCCTAGACCACTTTCCCAAGTGATGGCACCTCCCAAGTTTCTACTCAGGTCAGTCCTGCTGGCCTATGGCCCCCTTACCCAGCCCAGGCTCTGGGAGCAGATGTCTCTACAGAAGATAGCATGATGGTGGGAACCTGGACCACGCCCACTTTTCATAGCCCAGGAGGGCTGAGAGCTGGGGATAGGAGCAAGAAAGGGAGACAGTAGAAAGAAGACCTCAAGGAGCAGATAGTCCCCAAGGGTGTCTGGTATCTCTCCATGTGCACCTAAGACGGTCACCTGGAAAGACAGCAGACAACCTGTTCTGGGTGTTCTCCCAACCTTCACCCCATCCTTCCAAACCCCAGGCCACACACCTACAAGGGGAAAAGCAGGCTGGCCACTCGGCCTGTAGTTTTCTCAGCAAAGCGCACCAGTTATGAGAACTTAGACCTCCAGAATTTGGACTGAGACTCAGTAATGTGTTTGTACTGAGTGTGCATCTGCAGAGCCTGGGGCTGACGCATGGGGCAGGACTGGGGAAGGCAGAGAAGTTCTTCTCAACCTCGCCATGCTCCTGGCTTTTAATTCAGGCAGGGATGGGCTTACAACTTGTGTGGTAACCCTATTTCCTGGCACTCGTATTGTCCCACTGTCAGTAGAATGGGGCTTCTTCATGGGCCTCCCTTTTAGTTAAGAGTAGTGGCTGTTCCTGCACTGACACCAAGGCTGAGGGTCTCCAGGAACCCATCCCAGGGGACCCTGGAACCTGCTTTCCACCAGCCTGGTGCAAACTCCACCACACCCTGCCTCTTCTCAGAGTCCTAAGACAAAAGCAAAGGCAGGGGGCAGGGGCAGCAATAGCTCTCTTGAGTGCCTTCTTTCCAGCAACTTCAAAAGGTGACATATTGACAAGGCTGCTGATAAAACTATGATGGAAAGACATTAGAGGTAGCAGCATGAAAGCAGACCCCAAGCTGGGTGGAGGAGTCAAAGTGCCGCCTGGCCCCCTCTTCTCCCTTCACCCCCCAGCACCAGCCAGCCAGCCCTACAGTAGAACCTGACGTGCTGCTCTGAGGAAGTTAAGGGGGGCTGGTATGTGCTGACGGAGAGGGGCAGAGCTGCAGGTGCTAACCACTCCCCCTGTCTCTCTCCAGGTGTCAGCCATGAAGTGGGGCCTCCTGCCTGTCTCCCACAGTGCCCTGCTGGTGGGAGACATGGCTTATTATGACTTCAATGGGGAAATGGAGCAGGAAGTGGATCGAATCAACCTGCAGAAGTGCCTTGGACCCACCTGCAAGGTTTGGTTCACTTTTCTGGGAAGGTGCTGTGGGGTGGAATTGTCAAAAGCGATGGCACCAAAGTGGCACACGTGCTCATTGGAGAATGTTCCGAAGTTCAGATAAACAAAAAAAAACAAAAATCTCTTTATCACACTACCCAGAGATTCTGATGCATACCCCAGATATAGTCATGTATTTACAAAACTTGGATCCTAAAATATATTGTGCTTTTTTCCCTTAGCACTATGCAGTAAATACCTTTGTATGCTATTAAATATTTTTATTATTGCTGTATTTAGTTATTAAATTATACTTCGCTGTATGAATGACCATGCCACCATTTATCTAAACAACCTTCATGGTTGGACACCGGAAGGTTGTTTTTCAAATTATCTCTTAATATAAATGACACTGTGATAAAAATGTTTTCAGCTAAACCTTCGTGTGTGGTTGAGATAATTTCCTTAGGTTAAATCCCTAGGGATATACATTTTAAAGCTCTTAGTTCATATTGTCAAATTACTCCCTGCAAAGTTTGCTCCCTCTTTTCCTCCCACTTCTCGTGTATGAGAATGCCATTCCCTGCAGTCTCCCCAAACTTGAGTGTTATCTTTTTTTTGCCAACCTGATAGAGAGAAGCGAAGTCTCGTTATTGCTTAGCTTAAGTCTAAAGACCTATTTTGTAAAGCCCATAATGGGGGAGGTGGTCGTCATAGTATGGGAAGTGCTTCGGAACGCAGCCTGCGCTGATGGACTCTTGTTTCTGTCCTTGCAAGAGACTCCCTGCCTGCCTCATTTCCCCTCTAAGTGTCCCCATGTCCCCACTTCTAACAAGGGATGGGAGACCCCGGCTGTCTTCTCTGAAGCGTCATTTGCAGTGCCTGGAGAGGGATGAGATGTTCACTTTGATGAAGTGCTACGAGAGTGTGAGAGATGGAACATTTGTCATTTGCAAAATCTTTTGTGGGCCAGAAACATTATCTCTTTCCATTTTTCTGATACAAGAGGGGAAAAATCCAGCTCTTCTTAGCAAGAAAGGGTGTGATGTTTAGAGCCACCGTGCCCCCACCCACACTCTTGCAGGCACAGATCTGACAGATCCCAGACGGCTGTCACCTGGTTTCAGAGTTCTTGGGGTTCAAACCAGGCCAGAAAAGTGTCTGGCAGGGAGGGTGCACCTGGATCTTGGGGAGTCATGCTCTTGGTATAAATTCATCTCCTCCTTTTATACCCCTGTCCCTGGAAGTGTCACACAAATAATGAGGACACCTGGGTTCTAGTTCAGATTCTGCCCCTACTTCGCTGGGAGACCTTCCATTTCTTTGGGCTTCTGTTTCCTCATCTGTAAAATCAGTGAGTTAGATTAGAAGATCACTATGACCTCTTTCTTATAACTTCTTTCTTAGGGATGGCAGGGGCCTCATTGAGTTCAACCCCACATCTTTTACAGAGCAGGGATCCAAGGTCCAGAGAGGCGATGGGACTCACCATCAGGCTCTCAGGTCCTTCACCTGTTTCTGCAGAGCCACTTCTTGGAGAACCACCCCCTTTGGTTTTTGATCCCCAAGTAGACTAAGTCATAGGGGGCAAGAGATTGCTTTTGAGGTCGGACCATTGTATTGCACATCAAATAATTTCATTCAAATTAACCTGAACACCAGGTTTTCAGACATCTAATCTCTCCAGGGAGTCTCTAGGTGGTGCAAATGGTTAACATGCTTGGCTGCTAACCAAAAAGTTGGAGGTTTGGATCCATGTAGGAGTACCTCAGAAGAAAGGCCTGGTGATCTACTGAAAAATCAGCCATCAAAAACTCTATGAAGCACAGTTCTTCTCTGATGCACATGGGGTTGCCATGAGGCAAAATCAACTTGATGACGTTTGGAAAGTTCTTCAAGGCCAAAAGATCCAGACTTTCCTCAAAGAAATCCACCAATCCTTTTAATCTCAGTTTAGAAAGGAATCTTCAGTTTCTTAGGGTGGATGCTTTGGGTTAACATGTGTGGGTAGCTAGGGAAAATGAACAAGGTGTTGGAGGGGAGGTCTGGGATTGGATGGAAATTGATCTAAATAAAATTAAAAATCTCTCTCTCCCTCATAACTGAAGTGTGGAAACCTTGAGGCTTTAATAGGCTGTTTACTCCTTTACAGATCCTGGTGCTAAGAAACCATGGAGTGGTTGCTCTAGGTGACACCGTAGAGGAGGCGTTTTATAAGATCTTCCACCTGCAGGCTGCATGTGAGATACAGGTGAGCAAGTTCCTCTGAAAAGTGGGCCCAGGAGTTGACTCTGACAGGGGCCTACGGGCCAACATGGTAGCACCATTGGCTATGATTTAGGGAGTCCTTTGAGCCTTGCCAGAGCCCTGGTAGCTCAGTGGTTAAGAGCTTGGATGCTAACCAAAAGGCCAGCAGTTCGAATGCACCAGCCACTGCTTGGAAACCCTATGGGGCTATTCTACTCTGGCCTATAGGGTCCCTCTGAGTTGGAATCAACTCAGTGGGAGTGGGTTTGGTGGAGCCTCAACCATCCAAAAGCACTTGCCCTAGTGCTTTGCTTTGGTACCACTTTATCCTTCTAAAGTTTCACACTTACAATCAGCTCTGTGGCTTTAAAAAATTACCACCATTGTCTACCAACCACCATCCAGCCCTTGGGAGTCAATGCCCAGGATGGGAGAGCTGCCTGGGCCCATCAATGGGGAAGCTGTAATAGGGCATGTAAAAGCTCTTACAATGCTGATATGTTATCTGGAGGTGTACCTGCTATACCTAGTATGCTCAGTAGACATTATATAGGTAGGAGTTTTTTGTTTGTTGGGAGTCGGGGATGCAAAGGCCGGGAGTATGGTTAAGTCCATGAAGAGGAGTAGAGAACAGGCCAAGGTGACTTGTTGCCACAGGAGGCCTGAGCAGCCAGGGGCAACACTAAGGGGATGTCCAGGGAATCTATCATGAATTTTCCCTAGTTGGTAAGGGACAGGGTAGATGGGGAGTTTCAGTGATCCGGGACCACCTAGAGGAGTTGATGGAGAAGAAATGGGAAAACAGACAAATCCAACACTTTACCAGGTAACAAGGTGATGCTGGACAGGCCAAGCTCTTGTGCTTTTAAATGTGTCAGGTGGATCCGGGCTGAGTGTGAGGCTTTGTACAACTCTGGAAAGACTTGTTAATAGGCTGACTTGGGCTCCTTCACTTCCAGCTCTGGGCTGCATGCCTTTGGGCAAAGGACTTGCCCTCTGTGAGCCTTTGTTTCCGCAGTTGTATATGTGGGACCCGTAGGGTTGTTGTGAGGACAGGCTTTTCAGACAAGGAGGGATGTTACCAATGGTGTTTTTCGGACTCGATTGACAGAAGGCAAGGCCTGCTGCTCCAGCATGAGTCAGCTTTGCAAGCACCACTCTGTGTCCTGTGTGCCCTCTGCTGGCCAGTCTGGGCAGAGCGGTGTATGGAGGAGGAACACACGCTCTTTCTCCGGGGGAGACACTTGGGGAAGAATGGGATTGGCCCAGAAGCATCGCTAGTGGAAGTTATGCAAGTGGTGCCTTTTCAATAGTCTTTAAAGGAGTATGTTGAGAGGACAGTTGTTAAAACAATGATGAAGCCACATCAGGGCAAGTGGTGTGAAATTTGCCCTGGAAATAACAGTAGTCAGAACAGAAGATGTGGACAGGGTAGACACAGGACCGAGGCAGCATCTTTATAATGTTACCCTCCACCCCTGCCACAGCAGCCAGTGATGTTGGCCCTGAGCTCCAGTTACTGCCTGATGTGAGAACCTGGCTGAGCCTCTGATATGTTCACTTTCCATTCCTCACTTTTGAACTCTTAAGAGTTCCCCTTTTTCTGTCTCCAGACGAGGCTAGCATGAGAAATTTAGCTCATGAAAAAAATCTCATCCCTTTGCAAAGACAGCCTTGCCCTAAACATGAATGGAGAAAGAAGCCCATGTGTCCCACCCACAGTGAAGTATGCCTCTCCCAGGCTCCAGACCCCCAGATATGGCCACTGTGCAATTTAACCAAAGGCAGAATGACCGTCTAGCAACTAGGGGACAATCAAAGGGCAGAGCTGCCAGCCCTCCTGGCTGCTTCTCTTTGCCCTGCCTACTGTCACTTTCTTTTCAGGACTGGTTCAACGTGACCTGGTTAAAGTGCATCAGGAAATGGGGGCAGACAACCTCCAGACAAGCTCCAGTGGCTTTTTTCCAGCTGGTGAGACTGGGAGGCTTCTAGAGAGAGGAACAAGGCCACTAGATGTGGAAGGAAGACAGGAAAGATTAGACCAGAGGTGTGGGTGGATTAGGGCATGTAAGAGCCAAGGTACCAGCAACCTGTAGGTGCCATCTGGATTGCAGCCCCTTCCAGGGCCATTTTTTTTGGGGAACGGCCAGCACTGAAGCTCTGTCATTCCCACCACGGACCTGGTTTTCTTCCTCAGTGACCTTGGCAAACAAGCAAAAGTGGCCGTGGTCATTTTAGTGGTTCGAAGCTAAGAGTGTATTCAGTTCTCGAGGGGACGGTGTTCTCTTTGCTCCTCATCAGTTTGGGGTTCTAGGAAACTAGGTCATCACCAGCTGAGAGAGGCAGCTCCTTGCTTGCTTGCAGGCAGATGGGAAGAAGTTTGGGCAATTCTCCATCTGCTACCCATCGCCATGGAAACTGATGGAAGAAGAGGGAGGTGGGAGGAGGCAGTTCTTGCAAGGATGTGGGCAGTGCTCTCCCCCTCTCCTTCTCCATTAGTGACCGGTCCTGTGGAACATTGCTTCTCTGCCTTTCATGGTTAAAACCCCAGAATGTATTTATCAAAAACACTTATATGGTACTCCCTATACACCAGGGACTATCCTAAGTGCTTTACAAATATTACCTTAAATAATCCTCATGAGGTAAATACTATTTTTTTTTCACTTTACAGATGAGGAAACTGAGGCACACAGAGGGTAAATAGCTGCCCAAAGTCACACAGCTAGTAAGTGGAAGAGCCAGGATTCAAACCCAGGTAGCCTGGCTCCAGAGTCTGTGCCCTTAAACACGACATTGTGCTGCCTCTCCAGAGCAGTCTGGTACAGAAGCTATGCTTATAAGCCAGACCTTGCCTTCAGGGAGTTGGCACTTGAGGATAGAACGCCAGGGTCCCAGAAGAGTATGACCAGAGGGTGAAGCCCTGCAC